GCGGGGAAGACGATACTTGAGTTGGATCCGTGCTCTATCATTTATCGTCCGCCGTCGAGGTGAGAATTCGGGAGTCGTCGGCAAATTCAGGCGGCGTGCGGTGGACATCAGCGACTTCAGGCGGCGTGCACCGAAGATGATACGGCCCTTTTTAAACATGTTTACCCTTTCTTTTTTTTATTGTTTTTTTTTCTTTAACCCGCGGCACGAGGGAATTGGCAGTATATGTTGCATGTATATGTAGTATATGTTCAGTATATGTGCAGAATATGTTCAGTATATGTACAATATATGTTTAATATATACTTTTTTCTATATGTTCTAACGAAAAACTTCTCAGAGGATAATTGTCGAAAACTTAGTGTGCTTGATTTGTTGATAGATAGTTCTATTCTATACTTGTTGCAGGTATATGTTGTGGGTATATATAGTATATTTTATGTATATGTTTCGATATGAAAATTTGTATATTTCGGGTATGAAAAATTTGTACATGTTTATATGTTACCATCAGATATTAAAATTTACACGTTGTGGTATATGTTGCGAGTATATACCAAAGTTGTACAATACACATATACATAAAATATACATATAAAATATGCATAAAACACACTATCGAGATTCACGTAATTCAAGTCTGCGATACCATATATACATAAAATATACTTTAAATATACACTCGAGTTTCAATCGTTTCTAAAAATCGATTTCAGAACCCACACATACATAAAATATACCTAAGATATACACTCGAGATCATTTCACGAGCAAATCATTTCTCACGAGCGGAACACACATATACATAAAATATACCTAACATATATCTCAAATATACCTAAGTTATATAATCGTTTCTCACGAGCAGACAAGAAGGTCTCAGGCGGTGGTTGAGCAGAGTCCAATTGGTCATCTTTTTCTTTCTTTTTAGCTTGACTTCCGAGGGCTTGTGGCCGAAAAAACTCGTGTCTTGGAACATGGCCACTGTCGCACACGAAGCAAGCACGTCTATCTTGGCTGAGGGTTGCATCCGGAGTGTGCCTGCTCGCCGTGAATGGCCTGGTGCTCATGGTACTCGCCGGAATTTGGTGCATCTCGGGTGCCCTTGAATCTCCTCACCTGAAATCGGGTTTTTTGGTGCTCGTGGATCGCCGGCTTGCACGACTCTCTCGTTGCCGGAAAATTGGTGGCTCCTTCTTGTCGAGAAAGATGACAGATTTTTAGGAACTTTCTGAGGAATTATTTTCTGAGGGGGACGGGGATCTGTAACTCACAATTATAGAATGAAGATTTGTAACTGATTTTTAGGCAACAATGTAATTAAATTATTAGCTATTAGGTATATACACAATTAATTGTGTATGAATGTAATTTTGCAATATTCCTGCAATCGTGCAGGAAGAGTGAAAATTTCCCAAAAATATATGCCATGGCCCATAATGACCATTTATGGCTAGAACCAGCTTGGGCCCATATACCAACAAATCAGCCTATAAGCACGGATCCCACATCGAATCCACAACAGAAAACACTCACCTATTTAAATGATTATGCATCAGCAACTACTCAAAGGTCCAAGCTGGGCCGCTGAGCCGGAACGACCGTTACGAGTTTGGTGGTTTTTCTGGTTTTTAACCGATTTTCCTGGTTCCTAAGAGGTTTTTAAGCTCAACGATCCCATACCTCTAACCGGACCGGTGTATTGGCCGGTCGAACCGGTCGGTCCGATCTGGTTTTGATAACATTTTTCTTAACCATAATGCAATTCATTATAGTAATTTTCGCTCACTCTGTTGGATTTTATGGATTTTAGGCATACGAATAAGTCTCAAGCGCACCGGAATGTTAAAATCTTCTTACCAACAATGAAGATTCGAACATAGCTATTCGATATGACCCTAGGTTGCCTGAATGATCAACCAAAACTTACAGTTATTCGTCCATGTCTTCGACTATGGTATCCACGCAACCTAGTTTTCCGGTGCACGATCTAACGCTAATAAATCATTTCCAGTGAAGAAGCTAGGAATCCTCGATCAAGAAAGCTAGAGAATGTTTTTATTTTACGATGTATCTTCTCTTCTTCTCTCGTGATCGGAAGACTACAATGAGATAATGACCATTTTGTAATTAGGTCAAACCTATTTATGTGGGCATTAGAAAATCCTATAGTCCAATAGGTAATTGGACTCAATCCAAAATTCAATTAATTACAAGTCCAATTTAATTTAATAAAATATCTTCTATTAAATAGAAAATAATCTCATTACTCGTAAATAAATATTTCAATCTAATTGAATATTCAACAATCTCAATTCACACTAAGTCGAAAAACTGATTGCATATTGTGTTACCCTATAGGCCTTCATATATTGACATAAATCTAATTTATGATCCTTACAAGACTCAAAATATGAAGTACGGTTACATAGACAAAGCAAACAAACCTTTAGGGTATAACTCAATAGTGATACGGTCCTTCCATTTACAAACCACTCCATTAAGCTTAAGATTTGCACGTGTGTCTATCCAAATAGCTTAATCATTTTATCTCATCTTACTGGTTAACTTTATTCAATTAAATTTTAATACTATTTCAAATATAACCACGTGTAGTGGCCAATGACTTTATCAATCCCGTATAGAGAAAACGAGTGTTTTCTCGAAACTATATTCGAGGAATGAATCCTATCTTGACTCAACTACTAATTCTATATATATCATGATGTACCCAACACAAGCCTGCGTCTACCCTATAAGGAGCGTAAGTGTTGGACTAAGTCCAAGTAAATCACTCTGTACACGAATTGTGTATTGACCTCAAGTGAAATGATTATTACATCATTCCACACACCGATACTTCCATAGACACAAACAAATTGTTTATCGGTAGGGTGTACCAATACTCTCCAAAATATTCATGCGTCCTTCACGAATAACAATTATTCATAGTAGCGAGACATACTATATTCTTCAATAATATAATGCAGACCACATGTTAATATATCATGTATCATTAATATCCGTTTCTTAATGATCACCGATTGAGGCGATTTGAGAGTTATACTTTATTCATTCACATCTCACTTTGTTAATGACAATATTAACTCAAATGAGCAATTAATTAATAAATTACAAACAATTAAATAATTATTTAACTAATTATGATACCATAATATAATAATCAAATATAATATTAATATATATGTCTTAAAAAATATTCTCTAATACACATATACCAACACACTCATATCACTAATTTTAAGTACTTTTATTTTTATATTATATCAACATTTTAAAGTTCAAATATCATTAATAAATTGCCCTTGCGAAAGTACCGTTGCCTTTTCTTTTATTATTTTTTTTTTTTTATGCCAATTACCGAAAAAAAAGCGCTTTATAGCCTTAATGACCATTATTGCATCTGTTGGGAAAAGTAATTAATCTAAAATCTAAATATACTACACATTAATTATGAGTAATAGCGGTGCATAAATAACACTTAGGCTACATGGAGCTGTATTTATAGCCATAAAGTTTCGAATTGACATGTGAAATTATCAATTTTTATTTTTATCATAAGTGTAAAACTTTTGTCAACTTCCAAATAAAGTAGATAAATGTCTACACCTAAAATGTGACATGTGAAAATAGAAATCGACAATTTCCAGATAAATACGTCTACTTAGCATAAACCAAATAAGGTGATGACATAGTGGTTTAAAAATCTGCTCGTTTCTCGTTTTTTACTGTCATATATTGTTTACGCTATTTTTGTATTTGTTTCGTAGTATAAAATTTGAACCCATCTCATCATAATACAAATATATTTGTTAATGTACATTATATCTTATGAGAAGATGTTACGGTCCCGTTACGCAACCATTTCGTCAGGATTTATAACCGTTAAATCAACTATCATCGACGGTTACATGATCATCGACAATTACATCATGATATAACGTTTTTATCACGTCAATACAAATATAGTACAATAACTACAAATCATACAATCTAGATCTCATATGGAACCTAACAAAATAAATTAAAACATTACACTTTCATTCAATGTATAAAATTACAATGATATAAATCACAAAAAATTGTTAAAATAAATAGATAATCACAACTCATAAAATAAAAAGATAATCACAAATCCAATATTTACCGTAACAATTTTATAAATCTTGATTTAATATTTTCATTTCAGCTGATGAACATAAATAATTTATCACGTCAATACATATTTATCACAAAAATTACAAATTAGACAAACTAAATTACTTATGGAACATACAAAATAATTTAAAATATTAAATTTTCATTAGATGTATAAAATGACTGAAATAATAAACAAAATAATCACAAAATCCACATTCTATAGTAACTATTTTCTTAAATTACCATAAAACTAGCATTTTCACGAGATAAACATAGTCTTTGATATCTATCGCATCAGTTTATAATATCCAAAAATATTTTATTTCATATTTATTGATGTTAAAAGATATTTGTTGCTCTTAAAAACAAGTATGGGGATTATAAATATCATATCACAAAGAAGCACCTATACTAACATAAATTATACATATATATATATATACATTTCATGACCAAAATTCCCGAAAAATGATATCACTTTTTGATTCATATCATTCAATCTATAATATTTCACAAAATAATTACAGGGTTACACTTACTAGTACTATATTACCAAGAAAGCAGTTAAAACCTAACAAGGAAAACGACACACCAACCGTCGGAATCAAAGACCCCCTAACGGCAACAGAATAGCAAGCAGCTCCAGCTCCTATATATCTTAGAGAATCGACCAGACATCGAGAGAATTTTCTTTTTTTATTTTATTTTATTTTTTTGTTTAGGGAGAATTTTTTTACAAAATATAAATGATAAAAAAGGATAAGTGGTGGTTTCGGGGAAAGTTAGTGATAAACAAAACAAAAGAACTAGGAAGTCTTTATCAGAAGCGAATGCTGCAATTAAACTTTGTGATATTTGTACTTCTGCCCAATATTAAACCTATTAATCCGATTGCTAAATCCTTCTGTAACAAGTGTCCTAACGGCCTCAACACCTTGTTCCAATGCAGCATCCACCTATTACAATGAATTTGATGTTATAATGAATTTGATGCTACAAACTTACAGTTGAAGTAGAAGGTCGATTCAGAAAAACACCTGGAGGAATGGTGCCAATTTTTTCTATTTCTTCGGATTTTGGGGAAAAAAAAAAAAAAAATATAAGAGGCTCATTCAAAATCGAAATGTACCTTTCACCCGTAAAACCAAGAACACGTTTCAAGAGTGTACATTTATTTAACAAAACTATATCCGAAGAAGATAAACGGAGATCTAATTGTTTTGTAATTTAGTAATTTACTAATTCAATAACCCAGAGGTTCAGCCTAATAGACAAGATCCACTCATTGTTTCAAATCAGCAAAGGTTCTCTCACGGTTTGTAATTACAATATACAAGAATTTGAGGGTGCACTTTTGCAAGACAAACAAATATAAGTCTGTATTTTTAATACAAATAGATACATGGATCTTCTTTACTTAGCATAAAAACCCATAATTAATAGAGATTAGTTTCTTTCAAGATTGGGTAATATTCAATATTTTCGTATCGGAACACACTATATTAATCCAGTCGAGTAGAGAACTAAATTTAAATAAATAGGTCTGGATCCATGTAGTAACTTACCTGTTCCCTTTCCAAGGCACTGAACTTTTGAAGAAGAAAAGCTTTAATATCCATTGTACCAGGAGGGTTTCCAACACCTGGAGTATCATTATGAAGTATTTAATCATGATTCTCACACCAGTGGGTATAATAATACAACAAAGAATTCAATTAAGAAACCAACCTATGCAAAACCGAGGAAATTCTCGACGGCCATCTAAATGTTGCATTACGCTCTTCACCCTGTGGTACAGGAACAAAATTTGCCATTCTAATGAATTGGCTTTATTATATAATATTATAAGACTACAATAGTGTGTTGATTTGCAACAAAATCCAACATTCATGGTCTTGCATAGAAATGGTATGTACCATAAATTCATAATCAAGTTACGAATTAGTTTAGTTGTGGTAGCTTGGACCTCAAGTTTCAGTTTGATTAGTCTAAATCCCAACTTCGTGAAATGAAAACTTCATCTTCAACAAAAATTACAGGCAAATATAGCTGCCAATCTATAAGGTGATAGCTTCAAGGTAAACTGTAGAAGGTAACCCAGGCTGATTATCGTACTCATTGTGGATCAATTTACACAATCTATATTATGCATAAAACATTTAATACTCTTTCAAATCTCGTGCAATTGCTTTGACAAATCTTTACAATCTACATTCACAGACAATACCCATTGTGATGGCCATGTCCTCCTTTTGGCTGAAGCCTCAAAACTCCATTTGGTAAGCTCATTTCATCATATACCTACAAGCATTCAGTTGCCAGAATTTCTCATTCACAAGTGTATTGATTTACTCTCACAAGGAAAAAAAAATAAAAAAATCATACGCAAAGTTGATATTCCATAAAAATAGACATACAGTAAGAACTAACCAGTAGGATGTGGCGCAAGGGTACTTGATAATATGCTGCAAGTGGCCCAACCTGGT